ATTCTTTGATTGTTCTGGAACTTGTTTAGGCTCAATATCTACATAAACATAATTTCCGAGACGATTATCAGAAGCCTAAACCTTATAACTTGTTGTTAATAACTTAAGCTAGTTTAATGAACCAAAATTTCATTTTTCCTTTAGGGTGTATCGATACCTTCCCTAAGGTATCGATACCCTTATTACATTCTGAAATTTTTCGTTCAAGAGGGTATCGGTACCTATTGAATGGGTACCGATGCTCTTTGCCCAGAAATCACATTTTAAGCACGAAATTCACTCTTTTCAGCTTCAACACTTCATGTTTCCTCCCCTTTCATGTTCTTAACTTACAAATACATGCTTAAACTCGTTTATATCCATTTATCTTATCTTAAACCTCAAAATCCTCTCATCTTTATGAACTTCAAGAATCATACCCAATTTTAAACATGTTTTAAATCCAATTCTAACATTTCATATCTCTTAATTAGATTGATGACAAGTCAAATTCAACTTTCAATTCTTATTATAAACAATATTTCAAGACTTCACTAAAAAATTCCAAATCTTTAATCTTCTTTAACTCATTTATCTTTTGATTTTAAGATAACTTAAGCTTTCCTTAAGCTTAGTTGTCTTCTAATAATAAAAACTCAACTTAAATTTCAGCTAATAATCAACAACAAAGAAATCTTACCTTTGCCTTGCTTCCACGGGGAGGAGGAATAAGAAGGGAGAAGAGTTTTCCAGATAACTCTCCCCACATGCTTATCTCTTTATAAAGAGATAATTATCTTTCCTTATTAAATGACCATTTTGCCCTTTAATTCCTTTAATAATTACTAACAACTTTCAGAAAATATTTTCAAACAAATCATTGAACTATTCAACTATTCTACTTTTATCACCAAATTCTAAAATTTTACAATTTGGTCACTAACCCGTATTGAGGATGTTAATAATTTGATATTTTTTTTGTTAAATTTATTAATTTATGTTTATATTAAATTCTAAATAGTGTTAGTAGATTTTAGGGTAAAGTACATGAATGGTCCCCCGACTATAGGTTACTACTTTATTAAGTCCCGTAACTGTTAAAATTTATAAAATGGTCCTACGACTATAGAGTGTTACTTTTTAAGTCCCTTAACTTTTAAAAGTTACAAAATGGTCACCTGACTATTCATTATGTTCCAAACTTGTCATTTTTTGTTAAAAAAATTGATTATATTTTGAGTTGAACGTTAACTTGCTGACTGTGATATGATAAAATCTGACATCAGAATTTCAAACGACTATCACATCCCAGTCATCATGTTAACTTCTAGCTTAGACAACCGCCAATTTTTAATGGAAAAGGACGAGTTTGGAACATAAAAAATAGTCGGGTGACCATTTTGTAACTTTTGATAGTTGAGGGACTGAACAAAGCAACACTCTTTAGTAAGAGGATCATTTTGTAACTTTTAATAGTCGAGGGACGATTTGTGTACTTTCCCCTAGATTATACATATAATTAAGAAAATAAGGTCAAAAATTTCGGTGAACTTAACGAGCAACAAGTTGAATAACAAACTTTTTTAACGAGCTTAATGAGTAACGAGTTGAATCCAGCAACTAATTTTTTTAATAAGCATGAGTTGTGCACAATCTAGCTCACGACCGACTTGCTCAATAACCACCACTAGTTGCCCATGACCTACTTCATCACAACCTTCACTATAAGGGCCATAAATGAGACAAGACAAATCTCGAGCTACTCGAGATCGACTCAGTCAAAGCTCGGTCAATACTCGAATCTAATGGACTAGATCAAAAATAATATATATAGATTTTTAAATTAAATTATTAATAATACTAATATTTATATATATATATATATATATATATTTTAAAATACAATATAAGACTTTCATATATTTAAAGTTCATATTTGAGTTCGAGTCGAGTTTTAATTTTTGATTTCAACTGGAGCTTGAAAATTTTAAGCTTGTGAGCTTTCAAGTTGACAAATTTAAACTCACGAATTTTGAACTAAATCAAACTTAATTTTAAAATTTTCAAATCAAATTCCGTTTATAGTGCTGTTTACCACCTGGCATCAACCACTTTTGTCTACACTGAAACATCGATAAAATAACAACACCTAGACTTACCAAGTTCACTACTCAACTAACAACCAAACTAGTTAACTTATCTACGACACGAACCATCCCAACTCGAAACACCTTTTACCCCAGCCAAAACCAAATCAGTACCTGTAAAACAGACGCTAAGAAATCATTCGGAGAATTAAAATAAAATTAAAGGAAAGAAATAAAAAAAATTGTAAGTTTTATTTAGTTCTCTGATTAAATTTTTTGCCATTGATGAATCGATTACTTTTTTTATAAGATCATTTTTACAGAGTACAATAAAATCATTGTAAGAATCATATTGTCTTTTCACATTTTTTATAAATCTTTATATAAAAATTATTAAAGCGAATTACTTAAATTCTGAAAAAAAAATCTTTTATATACAAATCTTTTATCATTCTATCTAAAATCCTTGTAAAAATATTATTTTCAACAAATCAAATATCTAAATTTATACTTTTAAACGCAAACATGTGACAATTTAATTAAAAGTAATAATTATGTTAAAAAATAAATATTTGATTATAAAAAAATATTATTGATACGCGTTTTATTTAAGAACTAGTTTTGATAAATTAAATTGTTGAAATGAAATTTTGATTTCCATTCTTTGGATAATTATTTCGGTAAACTACCACCTATGTGGTTGTATTATTGGTTTTATTCCGATCATTAATTATTATTAAAATTATTGATATGGTAATTAAATATATTTTTATAATAACATATTTGATTTTTATTACTTATGTATTTTATGAATTTGTTCATAATTAAGATAATAACACGTTCGATCCTCATTATTTACATATTTTATCAATTTTTTTTAATTTTAGTTAAAACAAATTAATAAATTCAATCCTTTAATAAAATAATAACTAAACTGATAGCTTAATATATAAATTTACTTAACAATCGTATCAACATTTCTATTATGAAATGCTAAGTGACTTGATTGAAACTAAATTAAAAATTTAATAACCTAATTGACAAAACATTTATTTCAATGATAGGATAGAATTGCGCTAGCAGTTTACTGACCATGGGGGAGTTTACCCTTCCTTATTAAAAAAATATATTACGCTTAGCATTATTTGGTTTGAAAATATGTTGTAAATTGACATGCGGTGATGTATTTAGAAATATTTTTTAAGGTGAATATATATATTAATAACTTACAATTTTTGGATGGAATAAATGTAAATAAACTTTTAGGATAAGTACAGTTCGTAAAATAAAATATTAATTAAAAAAATTTAAATTTTAAAATAGATACTATCAATAAAATAAATAATTAATCGAAAAATAAATTAAATTTCAACATATATAAGTGGACACCCTCATCAAGCTGCGGCTCGGCCATTGTTAATACATACGGTGGGGTCAGGTCTTTCCTAATAACTGTGGCTGTTATTTATACTTTTCTTATATTATAACCTAAACCTACCACTTTTCTTATGCATTTTACCACAAAAAAAAATTATTCAATAGGGTGTCCCATTCTTATCTTCTCCTTGTAAGAGTTTCGTCTCTTTAATCGCATCCCTCCAATCTATGACGGGACTCACCAAAGTACATTCTTTTGTGGGCCACATGTGTTCGTCACTCTCCTCTCAATCCCACCTCCCATTACAGCGCGTTTGTATCACTCTCTTCCTTCGCATTGGGGAGACCCCACCGGAAACAAATGTGGAATCAACTGTACAGGATCATTAACCCTCATGCCCCCAATATATTAGAATAGAAAAAATTAAATTTGGACAACTATCATGACGTGTAACATCGGCAGCTTTTTTTTCCTTCGGAATATAAATAAAAAACCTAAGGACACAATGGGAAAACAGAAAAATAAATCGGAACATATGAAGGGCCAAGAAAGCAAAAGAAAGATGAGAAAACCCTGATCATCGAGTTGCGTGAGATCTACTAAGCACTACCAGACCAAATCCCCCACCCCTCTTCTGTGAGATACAAACAAAGAAATGGCATAAATATACACACACCCTTTTGGATCTAAATATTGTTCATTCCCCTTTCACTTCCTTTTTATCCTACCCAGCCCCCTCCAGTTTTGCTTTTGATTTCTTTATTTTCTTTCGTGTTTATGGGGTTATTTGTTTAATCAATATCGATAAATAATGAGGATCCGGAAGAACGCGAAGCTATCTTCGCTGATAAACTCGACGGGTTCGAGAGTCGAGACTGTGCACGTGTGCGAGCTGAACCAGTCACCATGGGATGTGATTCCTTTCGCTCAAGAACCATACCCATCGTATCTTCATCACCAGGTACACGAAAACTCTTCGATTATCTCTTTCTTTCATTTCTCTTCTTTCAGAATAAATTGGTTCGTCCCTCGTGGCAGATCTAGTTGCTCATTCTTTCCTTCTTTTCCCTTCGCCTCCATTTTATGTTTCTTTGTCTGACATTTCTTTTTTAGGGTTTTAATAAACCCTAAATTCTCTCATTCTCATCGTGTATTTAGGTTAATGGGTGCTTATCATTTATGCGTATTATTCTTTTTGTTCGAGTTTTTAGTTGGCCGCTAGGTTCGTTTATTTCTTTGTTTTTTTCTTTAAAATCCCAGTTTGAACCTGAGGATAACTTTAATGGAAATGAGAGCTTAGGCGATTCTGTTGGCACTGTCAAGAGGTAATCCACTTGATATTTCTTTGATCCGATTGCTTTTATTGAATTTGTTGTCGTGATATCCTATTAGGGTTTTTTATTACTCGTCCTCTAGAATATATGTAGTCGAATAATTATCCACAAATTTCATGATGAGCTGGCAAGTTATTGAAAACCCATATTGTGTTTAATGTTTACCCAACGGGTGTTGAAAAATATTGCGGTTTGTTACTCGAAAAACGCAGCGTCGCATCAATGATAGACAATGAAGATAAATCCATTATGAAAGTCGAACGCATGGTTATCGATGAGGAGGAGGAGACGAAAATAGGCGACCAGTTCGGGTTCAAAACCCAACGCGAAGATGAAGGAAAGGGATCCAAGCAAGATTGTTCGTTGAAATCTTACTTCCATGATAATGGCAATAATCCAAGCTCATCGACCAGCAAGAGAGCCGGGAACCGCCGCGAACGAGCCGGAACGACCAAGAAGGGGCAGTCGTCGGCGTCGAATCCGTATGAATTATACTATTATTCAAGGTTCAGGCCGTCGTGGAGGAGGAGGAGAGGCGGCAACGAAATAAGGGAGAATATTATTGTCGAGGGTAAAGATGTTGAAAACAACAGCAACGCTGTCACCACTCAAAACAACAATACGACGTCGTCGTCGTCTTTTACGCAATTTGATTATGACGATGATGAGGAGAATGACGAGGATAGCGGTGGCAAGAAACAGATGAGGAAGCCTATTAAAGCAAGATCGTTGAAGTCCCTAATGTGAAGAATTTGATAATTTCATGTGTTTTTTTGTTTTAATTTTACTTCTAGGGTTTTAGATTATCAAGTAATTTAATTTCAATGGTTTGTTTTGTTGTTTTACATGATGTTGGGTTTTGTCGCGGGTGAGATTAGAATTTGCTTGGCCAACTTGTCAGTAGAGGAGATATTGTACGGTGTGACTCGCGCGGACTAAAACCAGGGTATATTAGTCCATGTCTAAAAAATGAAGGCGTTTTTTGTAATTTCATTTCCTTTTTTCAATGGGTTGTTTAGTTGTCGACGTGGCGTTCGTTAAATGTTTAAGTCCAAAACGGGGTCAGTTAAGAAATTATATTATGTTCAAGAAAAATATATATATTTTTTAAAGAAAAAGAAAAGTATATATATATATATATATTAATTTACGGTGATTATGAGTATATGTTTTAAAGTTCTTAATCATTTAACAATGAGCGTATAATTATCTTGAAGTCGTTGGTGCTCGAATCTAGAATCATTGAGGACAATAATCATGCCATTAATTATTGAGATCACTTGATTCATATAGAAAATTATTAAATTACAATTTAGGTTTCAATTATTCCAAAATTTTCCAACAATCAAATTATCGCGAATTGGACTGATATGAACACGTAAGATATGAATTGATAGGGTATAGAAGGAAGAGTCTACAATTTACGTCTGTATACCGTCACGTACCACTAAGTGACGTATCGAAACACACAATCTTTATTTTGTAAATTTTAAAAAGTATAAGGATTTATTTAAAATTATTCATTAATTAAAATCTAGTTTTACTTTTAATAGAATTATAATAAAATTATGATTTTTTTATTAAAAATAATAATTTATTTAGGGAACTTGCCTAGTTCATCCTTTTTAAGGAGTAAGATAATGGTTGGAACGATGCATCAAATGACAGATTATTCGGATGTGTATTGATCAGAAGGTAATATTGCAGTTGAACTCAAATTAGAAGGAGCATTGTTTCAATACAAGTGAAGTAAAAGCGGTAATTAGCATGGCCACTCATTCGTGGAACCATCATAATCCAAAACCCGTGCTGTGCATTGGTGATAATTGGAGCTGCTTCGTTCTTAGCAATCGATTTCCTGCAACTGCTATGGAAAATTGGTCCAGCTGAAATCTTTCTTACCCTGAGACACACATAATCGAACCCCATAGAATAGACCGATGTAAGAGCAAATAGGCATCCATAATTCAGCAAATAGAATCATCTTCTTGTATAGAATTAATAGGAGAACTAGACCGCGTCGAATGGAGAAAGACGCCTTTTAAAAATTTAAACTACCCTATATTTTTAGATTTTATTTATGTATTTTTTATTGAAAAAATTATTTTCTCTCCCTAAAATTTTATAAATTCAAGTTCGTCCCCTGAATTCTTATAAGTTCATGTACGCCCCTAACATAAAAACCTGAAAGATGAAAAGAGTTCCGGAGAAAAATAAACTTCTACTTATTATAGTTTTTTAAATAATTTATCCATTTACCCTACCTTAAGGGAGCTCAAATAGCAAATACAAATCCACTTTTACCGACTGAGAATCAAAAATTGAAATGAATTAAAATATTTAAACCTTTATGAAATTCAAGTTTAAATACTCTTTGGAAACATTTACATAACTTTAAAAAAAAAGATTATCAAATAAATAAAACAAAAGTGAAGCCCCTCACGTTGAATTTTCATATCCCATAGCTTTTATTAAATTAGAAAAATATTAAATATTGAGATTTAAACTCATACAAAAGAACACAATATGAATATCTTTAATCATTAAACCAATTGAAAAGATATATGTTACATTTATACGGCAAACTTCCTTTTTTTGATGTCACTGTTTTTAGTGTTAACAGGACAACTTGGTGATTAGCCTAACGACAGTAACACAGAATCCAAGTTCAATATGAAAGAAGAACAAAATCAATCTTTAAATGCAGCAACCAACCTTTCTGCAATTAAGGAATTTGTTCAAAAATACCTCCATCAAATTGTACTCGCTATGTAAATTACAATCCTGGAACCGAAATGTACTCGCTGTGTAAATCGGCGACCCCGGAAGCAGCCAGAGCCGTTGGTTGAACTCGCCCTGCAACTCATCGGGCACGAATGGTGTTCTACAGAGCGGACAAGTTTTCTGATCATGGTCCACCCAACAGTCCAAACAAGCCCGATGGAAAACGTGCCGACAGTTCCTCAACCACCTGATCTCTTCACCTCCTTCGAACTCGTACAAGCAAACTGCGCAACTCTCTGGCGGGTTCCCCACGACGAATAGCTCGTCGAACTTTACAACGGGGAGGATTTCCCGGATCAATGGGGCCGATATCGGCGGGTTTTTGGGTCTTGTTCGGGTTCGGGTATCTTGCCAGACTGTGTCCGTTTCAAGGAAATCGGAGAGTTCGAGGTAGGTGGAAAGAGCGACAATCACGTAGCGGATGAAACCCAGAAACAAAAGTGTGTGAAGGAAGAGTTTTGGTAAGAAAACTTGGGTGTAACCAACTGGAAATCCCATGAAGAATTTAGCAAAAGAAAAACAAAAAAAGAAATATAATTATAAGGAGAGAGGTTTTGTTTATGCTATTATATAGAAGAGAGAGAGTTGAGAAAGAGATGGAGGAGGAGGAGAAGAAGCTTCTGCTTTCAGCTACAATGGTCGGTATGGAAATAAATATACTAGTCTCTAAACTCAGTCTCCAGCTGTGACATAGATGCTTAGTTGTGATTGGAGGGTGATGTAAAATGTAAGTGGTGCGGGTGAAATTAGCAGTAAATGGAAATATGAGGGAGTTGCGGGCAAAGTCACTAATCAGCAATATCGTTAGCCAATCAGCATTCAGTTGAATTGAGGATAAATTACGATTTTAGTGTCTAAATTATCAATTTTAATTCGTTTCAGTATCTCAACTTTCAAGTTTTATTAAAACCACATCTAACGTTTAGTTTTTGTTTAATTTTAGTATCCCACCTTTAAAAACTTAACGCGTTTAATTCCTAAACTATCAATTTTAGTCTATTTTAATACCTAAACTTTCATTTTTTTGCATAACTTAACCTTGATTTTTTAAGGGATACATTTTTAAAAAAAGTTTTTAAGGGTACTAAAATTAAAATAAAATCTAAATGTTAGGTATAATTTTAAAAAAATTAAAAATTTAGGTACTAAAACGGATCAAAATTGATAGTTTGGGTACTAAAAGCGAAGTTTACCTTAAATTAAAAATAAATTATTTGGAAGCTTTAGTAGGAAATGAGAACTTCGGGTAAAGTACACAAATGGTCCTCCAATTATAGGACATTACTTTGTTGAGTCCTCAACGATTAAAAGTTATAAAATGATCCTCAATTATAGGGTAATGCTTTGTTAAGTCATTCGACCACTAGAAGTTACAAAATGATCATCCAATTATTCATATATTTCAAGCTAGTCATTTTTCGTTAAAAAATTAGCAGTCGTCTGAGCTGGACAATAACTTTTTTATTGAGAAATAATAAAGTCCGATCTTAGAACCGTTTGAGCTATATTTTGCAGATTAACTCTCCATTTACATTATGTCAATGAGTCATTACTTAAAAACAACTATGATGCTAATAAACATCATTAAAATATGATTTTCTCATATCTCAATCAGTAGAGTAATGTCCAGCTCAAACGACTGTTAATATTTTAGCAGAAAATGATGAATTTGAAATATATGAATAATAGATTGACCATTTTATAGCTTTTGATTGTCGATGAACTCAATAAAACAATATTATATAATTGAAGAATTATTTTATAACTTTTAATAGTAAGATAAATCAACAAAATAATTCTCAGATACCATTTATAAACTTTACCCAAGAATTTATTTGTTATATGAGATTGATTTATTTGAGAAGGGGACTGTCCATGGAAGCCTTCGTCGGTATGGCCGGCATAGGAAAGGAGACATTAAGAAAAACAAAATGGTGGGGGGCGGGACGGGAACCAACATGATATCATGATTGGTCGATGGCGGGAGACCCAATTCTCGTTGCCTTTTGGATGTACATCGCTACATCCATGACCCAACTGTCTCTCAAGTTATTTTCATATATTTCTCTTCTCTTCTCCTCTCTCATAAACAATTATATATATTGTTTATTATAAAAGGGATAGAAAACAATGGTTAAAGCTTAAGCAAAACATGTTTGATTTATGTTTTGGCCGCCTATGTTACAAACGACAATAAGCATATGCATGATCAGATTCCATGCCTGCTTGCTCACCTCCATTATTATCTTATCTTTTCACCTTCCACTTGCTTTTTTGACTCCTCATTTGGATTTCTCCTAATTGCAAACCCCACTCTCTGTGGTTTTCATCCACTCTCCTGTCCTTTCTTTCCCGTTTTATTTATCGCTTTTCCTCTGTTAACTCTGGCAAAAGGTAATTGGATCAACCGATACACGTCGTTTTATTTATTGTTTCTGGATCTTCATACTTGCTCCCGGTATTTAGATTCTTACAATTCAGCCTATTCATCAGGGGGAAAACAAGTGATGGTATTTGACAAAGCGTAGAAGATGAGACGATTAATTACTCTAAGCCCTCACAATTCATAGGTGAAAAAGTACCAGTAAGGTCCATCAGTTTTGTTTAACAACTTAATGATCGATCTCATACTCTTGTGTAGCTAGAAAACATCAAACATGACTGACCATTCATGTATTAGAAAGAAACCCACACAATTTTAGAAGGAGAAAAAAACTACAACAGCCAGGGACCCTTTCCCCAGGAAAAAACCATTCTCACACTGCACACTTCTAGTTAATCACCAACTGAAACTGATTGACTCGAAATGCAGATTATCCACCAGACCGGATGAACAGATTGCCGCGACGTCGTGCCTCAATTTCGTCGGACCACTAGCGAGAACCCCGATACTATCTCCTTTACATTCAAATATCAATCCTGCACCCAAACCATCAAAAATGTAAGTTTGATGTGAATTCTAG